CTTTAATGATATTTTTCTTATTAAAGACTAGTTTAGTGGATATTCCACTGTATTTTCGCACCTTCTTTCCCTGCCACTATTAATGGTGTGCCACCTGCTTTTTTGGTTGAAAGGCCAGCAGGGAATGTTGCCCGAATACTGGTCAATGCTTGTTATCTTTGTAAGAGGGTGGCAGAGACTTGTAACCATATTTTTCTTTCATGTACTGTGGTTTACAAGCTATAGATTATAGTTTATGGGCTGCTTGGAATCAATTGGGTGATGGTAGGTTGGGTGAGGGACGGAATTTGGCTTAGAAGAGTATAAGTGGTTGAAGGAAACCAATGAAGATTATTCTACTAACTATCTTTTGGGTGGTGTAGGAGGAATGGAATAAAATGTCCTTTGATGGGGTTGAAGATGTTGATGGTTTTGATATCTTTAAGAATAGAAGGTTTCAGACCCTTGATTTTTTGTTACAGGGTCATCATCTTTGTCCTATGGAAGAGTCAGTGGACCTTATTGATACTTTGATTGGCTTATAAATTTTATATGTGGACGACACTCTCTTGGTGCCTATATCAATATACATTTTACAGTTTTTATTTTTTTAAAAATGGTGTCGCTTCTTCTTTCTAGATCTTATATTGTCTTCAGGCAAAAGTCTTTCTTCTTCCTCTTTCTTCTAGTGATAGAACCTTTAAATTGACTTCCTTTAAGCTGAAGAGCTGAACTCTTAAGGGATTGTGCATGAGGAATGAAGAACAACTCATTTTAGGTTTGCGGATGACACATTAGTTGTTTTTAATGGCGAGTAGGGAAATATGAGGTGCTTGCTATTGGGTTTTCAGGTAGTGTTGGGCTTAAAGGTTATGTATGGGTCTAAAGGTTAGTTGAGGTGAAGTTGAGATTGTTCCAGTTGGCCATGGGATTGGTGGTGTTGAAATGTTTTGTTTGGCTTGCAAATCTAGTGGATTTCCTATTAATACTTTTGGTTCCATTTGGGTGCTACCCGAGATGTGTTTGATATGGGACCTATTTTGGCGAAATAGAAAAGGTTGGTCAGATGGAAGAGAAATTATTGTCAAAGGGGGCAGGCTTATGCTCATCAAAAGTTTTTTGGCTTGCCTTATTTATTTCCTTTATCTATTCCCCTTATTTGCTACTGTTGCTAAAAGGATTACAGCAATTTTTCATGGGCTCTTATGTGCTGACTCAGATGAGCAGAGAAAATTCCATTTGGCCACTTAGTGTTGTGTGAAACAACCACAACGATGTGGCAGTTTGGGGATTGAGTGTTTGGTTCATTTAATAGAGCTCTTCTCACCAATTGGCAGTGGGGATTTCTTTATGGTAGAGGCACTTTTTGGTGGAAGTTTTTGAATGCCAAGTTCAGGATGTAGGTTGATAGTTGGCATCGCAAGGTGGATAGAGGTGCTTTAGATTACAGATTGTTGAGGCAGATTGGTAGAGTTGGGATTTGGTCCTTGGTGCAATTTAGTTAAAAGTTGGAATGGCTCTAGTATCAAAATGTAGCATGACATTTGGTGCTTTCAAAATCTATAGAAAGATGCTTGTCCCTTCATTTTTCAGTTGCCAGATTCAAGGAGGCTAAGGGACCGGGATTGTTTAAGGTGTACAGGGATGGAACCCAATAGAATATTCCCGACTTTTCCTATCTAAATGATTAGGAGATTGATGAATAGGTGAATCTATTAGGATATTAGGGGTAAAGAGGGAAAATAATAGAAAGAGGGCAAATTAGTATTTTTGGTGTATCATTTAGGGTTACAGTTTCACCTCATTAAACCCTAACCAGAAGAGAGGCCGAGATCATTGCCTTTCCACGGCTGCCGCTGCACACATAATGGCCGCGGAATTCCAGGCATTAAGGCTGCTTGAATTATTTGCTTAAATTCTATAAAAGGTTCTATTTTTGTATTCTGTAATCATCCGAAAAAAGAAATAAAATTTATCTCCTATTTTCTTCGACTTCGGTCTTCTTCTCGTCTTTTCCCCCTTTCTTCTTCTCCTTTTCTTCTTCAGATCAGGTTCCATGTCTAAAGCATCTGACATAATCTCCTTTCTATTTTGGAATCTACTTTCACATTTGAGTAGGGTGAGAGCTCCATGTGGAGACTTACAAATTTTTTTCCCAGCTAAATTGTGTTACAAAATTATTTGGGTGCTCAATAGGCAATTTCTTATAGAAGCACATATGGAAAATAAAGGCCACTCTTAGGATTTCTCATGGGAGGTTGGTTGGGGCGAGATTTTAATCATTGACAACATTATGGAGAAGAGTAAATCCGGGTGAATTGGTGCTTTCTTACTGTTAGTGTGCGTTACCACACTACCTTCTTTGATATTCAGAAGTTAGAAAGCTTTGGGAATAAGCTCTTAGCATCCTTAACTTTTCAAGGACCGTCAATGCCTCAATCAAGGATGGAGTACAGGCATGGAGTGGTACCCTTCTACCAAGCATCAGAAAAATTTCTCTCACTCATCCCAATTTTTACCTTTTGAGCACTTGGAAAAAGAAGAATCAAAGAGGTTTTTTGCACTCTTATGACCTCTTTTGCATTCATAAGAGATAATTGGTTTAGAACTCTTAGTGGTTTAGAACTCTTAGTCTTTTATATAAAGAAGACATCTCGGTGAATATTTTAGATATTATCGAACTTGTTTATCTTTTCTCGTTGTAATTTTGTATACAGGTGGTACTTTCTTGATACTTTTTAATCTCATTTCTTTTTCTCTCTTCAAAATTTTGTTATAGGAACTTTTTTGTTGTACTAGGCTTCCATTTAACGTATCTGCTTAAATTAATACTCTTAACTTTTAAATTGTTGTGGGAGAAAGTCAAGGGCTACTTTAAGGAGCTACATTCAGATGATGCATCTTGGTGACCCATTTTGGACAGGTTTTAGTTTAGTATGTTGGAGGATCAAAAACGAACATGGTTGGAGTCTCCTTTAACTGATGAATAGGTCCACGAAGCCCTCATGAGTTGTAGAGGGGATGAGGCTCCTTGGCCAAATGGTTTCAGCATGAGTTTCATCCAACAAAATTGGACTGTGCTGAAAGGTGACTTTGTGTTGCTAATCAAGGAATTCCAGGAAAATGATTCCTTTTTATCTAGCCTCAGTTCCACCTTTTCCATTTCTCAATCCAAAAGTTGTCAAGGCCTCAAACATAAGGGAATTTGAACCTATCATCTTTGTGGGCTGCATTTACAAACTTATTACAAAGGTCCTGGCAAGAAGATTTGATGGAGTTGTGGAAGGGCTCTAGGAGACTGTCAACACAGGGCAGGTAAATTCTAGTCGCTGTAATGATTGCAAATCCATTGGCAGAGGGTTTATTGAGAAATAATGCAGAAGTGATTATTTGTAAGATAGACATGGAGGCGATGTATGATCACGTGTCACGGAGGTTCTTATTCTATATGTTAAATAGAATTGAGTTTCGATAGCAAATAGGGGTGAGCAAAAAGCAATCAAAATGGAAAAGATTGAACCAATCAAATCGATCAAGGAGACCGGTTCGATTCATTTGGTTTTCTGGTTAAAATAGTAAAGAACCAAAAAACTAATGTCTTAGTTGGTTTGGTTTTGGTTTCCAAAATTGGGAGTCAAATCGATTGAAAAACCAATTAAAGTTTTTCATTCTTTTTTAAAAGATTAATTAAAGTTTTTCCTATAGAAAATGATTTAGGAGATCAATGCATCACCCAAAGTGGCCTTTTTTTCCTTGGGAAGCAGCAAGAGATCGTATCTTAACTATAGACAACCTAATTCAACGGGGAAAAGTCCTCACACTTTTATTTAAAAAAAAAAAAATTCAACAGGGAAAGCTCATTGTAAATAGATATTACTTATGCAAGAGATCTACAGAGTCCAGAAATCACTTCCTTCTGTGGTATCCTTTTTTCTATCAGCTTTGGGCTATGGCTTATTGTCTTTTGGGAAATGGGTTGTTCCTGACTTGGTCAACGAGGAGATACAGGCTTGGAGAGGCATCCATTGGAATAAACATGATAATAAGAAGTTAGGCTTTATCCTTTTGGCTACCTTATAGGTCATTATAAATAAGAAATAGAAGAGCTCTTAAGAGCATAGATTTGTCTTTTAATAGGATTAAAGACATTTGGCTCTGGACTCTTTGTTGTTTATTAAAAGTCATCTTCTCTACACTTGTGAGGATTTTGAGGAGCTGATTGATATTTTGACAGATACATAAAAATGTTTTTGTATACAGGTTTTTCCCCCTTAATGGTTTTTAATTCTATATTTTTTTTCCTTTAAAAAAGCTTTTGTAAACTTAATAATAAAACTTTACTAATTTTTTCTTTAACCTTATTCCGCTAACTATTATTTGGATTCTCTGGAAAGAGAGGAATAGGAGGGCTTTTGACAGGGTGGAGAGTGATTTTGTAAAGATTAAGGACCAGTGGTTACATTATTTTGGTTTAGACTTTTTGGGGTACAACATGTATAAGGAGGAGGATTTGAGACATGTCATAGATAGTATTACTAAAGTGTAAATAATTTTGTACATGAGTTGCACCCTCTTGGTGTGCTGCAATACTAATGTTAACACTTTTTATTTTTAAAAAATAAAACGTTACTAATTCTACCATGTCATGCTACAGTATAAAAAAGCTATAGCTGTAAACAACAAAATGTTTTATGAATTTAATCGAAACAAACGTACCTCACCCGCTGCAGAAGCCTGGGGTACCTAGTAGCAGGACTTTCAAAATGGCTGTTGCCAACCTACTGGAGATGCCAAGGTTGAAGGTTCTTGGCCCAAGTTGAGTTTCTTTTGGATAGAATTGTTGGATTGTGAAGAATTCTAATATCTGTTGAATATACAATGACCTCTATTTTCTATGTCATTATTGATCTCAATTAGCTTGTTTCTGATGCATATAAGAGTACATGATATCAGGTTGAGTTTCCCTATACCTATGCAGATTTAACTGATGTGATAATAATTAACAACAATCTATTTGACAGGTATTATGACAAGCCAGAGCATTTGAAGGAATTGGGTGACATTGACATTGGAAAATATGTTGCTAGTTCAATTGTTGTTTTCAATTTGGATACCAAGCAAGTTAAGTGGACCAGAGATCTAGACTTAAGTACAGATACTTCAACTTTCCGGGCATATATTTATTCGTCTCCAACTGTTGTTGATTTGGATGGTGATGGGAACTTGGACATTCTTGTTGGAACTTCTTTTGGCTTGTTCTATGTCATGGATCACCAAGGTAATACTTAAAATAGAAATCTATTTTTTCTTTAATAATGAATTTGTGACTGAAGCATTTTTTTTCTGTGAAAACTCGATCAAGTAATAATCTTTTAATCAGTAAGTGTCAACAAAATAATCTGAGGGAAATAGTATTAAGGGAGCACTAAGGAGGTGCCAACCATACATATAAGAAGTTTTACAGATTGTGACGAGAAAGTAAAATATGTATATGTTCTCCAAGTCCTCTTTAAAAATAAGAGGTTGACCATTAAACAAAAAATTCATATTCCGGATCTAATGATCTCTAATGCTAGCAAAAGGGGACATAATGTCTTGAAAGCCTTCTTGTTCCTTTCTTTCCAGATAACCCTAAGAATGACCTACGGAATAAGAGAAAAAGAAATGGAATGAGAGAAGAAGTTTCTTCTGGGACACACTCTAATACTATCCCAGGCCCATAATTTATCCTCAATCGAGTCACTGGCCATCAAGGAGAGGTTGGGGAAGGACAAAGATAAATCCCATAGCTCCATAGCCTCTGCGCACGAAAGAAAGAGATAGTCACAAACAAGAAAGACTAACTAATCATTTGAAAGAGCAACAAGCCAATCTCTGTATGAAACTGATAAAGAAGTGTCCTTACTGTATCCATTGGCTTTAACAAAAATGGAAGCCAAACAAAACAAATTTTATTCCAAAGAATCAGAAAAGGTGAACTGTAAAAATTCACATGGCAGCAAAGAAAGCCTCACGCCAAAGAGATTTATTCTCCCTAGTCATCTTCATCCCATTGATGCAGAAGAAAGCAAACCCTCCAGATTCTGCAGGAAAATCTGTGAAAATCCAAAAATATCAAAAACAATGCCAAAAATATGGATACTTTAGCTCTATAAAATATATAATAATTACTCTTAAAAAATGTGTGAAGTGGGCTTATTAATAATTTTTAAGATCTGTCTCAGGAGAACAAATTGATTTAGCACCATAAAGTTGGCTTTCCATGAAGACCTCCCAGTGCTATTTTTCTTCATTAGAGCCAACCATTTCTAAACATCAGACCAGCTTCCTTTCACTTGTGAATGTTATTTAATTCTCTGTTCTTTCTTTTTCAGGGAAAATCAGAGAAAAATTTCCTCTTGAAATGGCTGAAATTCAAGGAGCCGTAGTTGCAGCTGATATCAATGATGATGGCAAGATTGAACTAGTAACTACTGATACACATGGAAATGTTGCTGCATGGACTGCAAAAGGAGATGAAATTTGGGAAGCACATGTTAAGAGTCTTGTTCCCCAGGTAAGCAGCAACTGACTTCTTATATAAACTTACAAGAACAATCTCTCCTCCCTCACCCTGGCCGTACAAACAGGGGAAAAATAGAAGGCTTATGTGCAAGTTGTGTTGTAATGCAAAGGGGCGCAGGTACTGGCGCATCAGCCTTATTTTGCCATGGATGCTAGTGTCTTAGAGGTTCTGTGGCTGATGCACAAGCTTTGTATCTCTTTTAACCTTTTATTTAGACAAAAATAACGACAATGTAATAGAAGGGCTCCGAGGAAGTGTTAATCATGTAAGTTATATGATTAGATATCTCTAAACGTCAGGAATCGACTAGATCAGCTATAAATTCCATTGTGAATTAAGGTGTAAAACAAAAATGGAAAGGTTTCTAAACCAATGATCCTTATCGGAAGCAAAAGAAAAGTTAGTTTTCCTAGTTCTCCTCTTCGTCTAAGTGACCCAAATATATAGTGGGATGAGGGAAATGAGTCATAGCCCATACTTCACTAAGAAGGCCAAACATGACCCAGGTAAGATTGAGCATGCTAAAAGTCAAATGCCAGAACCCCTTGGATTAACATCTAAGGAGATTGGGTTCGATTAATACTTGCTGAGGTATAATAAACAGCGATAAACCAAGGTCCTTTCCCTTCTTATTAGATTCTCCAATGTTAAGATGCTTCCATGAACTGCCTCCTAGGGAAAGAAGGCAATTCGAGGGGCAGTCTTAATTGTCCGGATCTGTTTTGATGAAAAAATTAGAACCCTGCTTATTACATATTTTTTTTTCCATTTTCTAGGTTCATATGTGTTTATGCATGTATTTATCATGAAAGTATGTAAAAGTTGCATATTTGTAGAATAATCAAAAGTATAAATAAAATAGTCTGTTAGAAAGTACTCAAAAAAATATTCTAATTCAATCATCAGTTTCACTATGTTTTTCTTTTTGTTAAGTAACTTAGTATGTTTTTTCTTGATTGAAATACGTCAGTCTAGAAAATTAAAAAAGTCGAAAACATTTTCATGTACCAAACAAAATCTTTTTGGTATATAGGCACATATTTTCAGTTTTGATTTCTTAAGTTTATATATTTATATAAAAA